GAGTGCTGGGAGAGGAATGCTGTTTCTATGCAGACTATTCAGGTATAGTAAAAGAGAATATGGCCAAGGTTAGAGAAGGACTGGAGAAAAGAAAAAAGGAGTATGAGTCTAAACAAGGATGGTTTGAATCCTAGTTTAATTTTTCCCCTTGGTTAACCACCCTATTATCCCCCGTGACTGGACCCCTAGTTATGTTACTGGTTGCTCTGACCATTAATGTATCATTAATAGGTTAGATGCTTTTGTTAAAGACAGAATCAACACGGTGCAGCTCATGGTTCTCCGAACCCAATATCAACCTATTGACCTTGAAACTAAACACTTGGGCAGGTTAAGAGCCAAGATTGGCTCTTACGGGTCCTATGGAAAGGGGGGGAATGAAAAGTGGAAAAATACCGACAGCCTTCCTATAGCTATTCAGTAACTACCCTCCTCTCTGGATCTGGGTGCAAGGGTCAACCACCATCTGGTCCCTACTCTAACAATCAGGATGTGACTAAGCAAGCATTCCCAGACCCCCACTTGGGAGATAACAGCCACCTGGCGTCTTGTGGTCTGGAAAAACCCAAGACTTTTACTTTTACTTTTACTTTTATTTTTATCAGAAATAAGTTACAATAGGGGCTGGGAAGGTGGCTCAGTGCCTTGCCTTGCATGCATGAGGCCCTGGGTTCGATTCCTCAGCACCACATAAGCAAAAGGAAAAAAGCCGGAAGTGGTGCTGTGGTTCAAGTAGTAGAGCGCTAGCCTTGAGCTGAAGAGCTGAGGGACAGCGCCCAGGCCCAGAGTTCAGGCCCCACGACTGGACCAAAAAATAAAAAATTAAAAAAAAAAGAAATAAGTTACACTAACTTAATGTTACATTATAGATACTAACTGCCTGCTTCTGCTTTTGTACCTCGCTTTTGCCTAACAGTAGAATAAATAACTTTTCGTAGTTGTATGCTGTATAACACAACTCTAAAAACTGCAGATGGTGCTGGTCAGCTAAACAAGGGCAGGATGTCAGCACAGATGGTGCCTGTTTTCACAGGGCGCCGGAGAAATTCCAGGAAGCCCCTCTCAGGCTCTGGCGATTTTTTTTTTTTTGTCGGTCGTGGGTCTTGAACTCTGGGCCTGGGAGCTGTCCCTCAGCTCTTCAGCTCAAGGCAAACGCTCTACCGCTTGAGCCACAGTACCACTTCCACTTTTCTAGCAGTTTATTGGAGTCTCATGAACTTTCTTGCCCTGGCTGGCTTTGAACTGCGATTCTCAGATCTCAGTCTCCTGAGCAGCTAGGATTACAGGCATGAGCCACTGGCGCTGGCTTGGCGATTGTTATCTAAGCAACCAGCCCTGTAGTTTAGCAAGCATCCCCCTAAGTCATACTTGCTATTTTCCTCCAATCAGCTTAGAGCACCTAAACCCTTAAACCGCCCAATCCCCTACCCCTAATATTTTCCCGCTCTAGGGCGCTCCAATTATACGCTAGAATTATGATATGATTTACCGGCCAAAGGTGATGATTTGCTACCGAATGTTATGACGACCGTCAAGTCCTTGCCCCACCACAAAGAATATATAAAAAGTCTTGTAACCGTAGGCTCGGGCCGCTCAGCGTCACTGATTTCGAGTGCGCAGAGGTCTGAGTTCGAACTCGCAATAAAAAGACCCCTGCTGATTGGCTTTGACTCTGGACTCTAGTGGTTGACTTTTGGGGGGGGGGGTCTCAGAAGATAAGTCCTGATGATAATTCTCTGTGAGTAGGTGTAGGGGACAAGGGAGTATTTTTTTTTTTTCTGAAATACTGATTTGTAGGCCCAAAAGTTAGAGGCTTAGTGGGAATCTGGAAACTCGTAGGCTAGATATTAACACTTAAGCCCTTTGTGTGCCAGACACTTCTAAGCCTTTTACAAATATCAGACATTGTATTTTTTATGCCATACTGAGTTCCTACAATTTAATAAGCTTGATATTCTTCCATGTGAACTGGGTTGAAATGGTTCTACATGAAAATAGAGGGGCTGGGAAGTTGGCTCAGTGGTAGAGCGCTTGCCTTGCATGCCTGAGGCCCTGGGTTCGATTCCTCAGCACCACATAAGCAAAAAGAAAAAAGTCAGAAGTGGTACTGTGGCTCAAGTGGTAGAGCGCCAGCCTTGAGGTGAGGAGCTGAGGGACAGCGCCCAGGCCCAGAGTTCAGGCCCCACAACCGTACCCAAAAAGAAAAAAAAAAAAAAGGAAAATAGAAGTAGCTTTGTGACCAGTTTCCCTTCATGAGAACTATTTCATTAGAAATGGGAAAAGACTACATCTTGCTACAAAAGGAAGATTTTTTTTTTTTAATTTTATTTTATTTGTGAACATACTGTACAGAGGGGTTACAATTACATGGGCAAGATAATGCATACATTTCTTACCAAGCATTGCAGCCTCCTCCTTTGTTTACCCTTCACCTCCCTTCCCAGCCTCCCCCCTCCCCCCCCACCCAATCCTTCCCCCAAAAGGAAGATTTTTAATGTTCATAAGTGTAATAATTTTAGAATTTTTAATTTTGTGTGTGTGTGTGTATGCACGTGTTGCCAGTCCTGGGGCTTGAACTCAGGACTTTGAACACTGTTTCTGAACTTTTCTGCTCAAGGCTAGTGGTCTAGCATTTGAGCCCCATGAATGACAAAAGAAAACCATGATTGCATTTGTTCATCTTCCCTCCATTCTTGCACTCCCCCTTTGTACCCCTAAAAAGAGAACAAAAACGACAGACAATACCACTAACAATAAAACCACCAGCAGCGATAAAAATTATGTTCCCATTTCCTGGAATTCATTTTTTGAAAAAATCTTTATTGTAAAGGTGATGAACAAGTGGGTTACAGTTACATAAGTAAGGTAATGAGTACATTTCTTTTTTTCTTGTTTTTGGTCCATCGTGGAGTTTGAACTCTGGGCCTGGGCACTGTCCCTGAGCTGCTCAGGGCTAGTGCTCTACTACTTGAGCCACAGCACCACTTCCAGTTTTCTGTTGGTTAATTGGGAAGAGTCTTACAGACTTTCCTTCCCAGGCTGGCTTTGAATGGTAATCCTCAGATCTCAGCCTCCTGAGTAGCTAGGATTATAGGCGTGAGCCACTGGCGCCTAGCTGAGTACATTTCTTTTTAAACACTGTTACCCCCTACCTCATTTTCTCCCATTTACCCCTCCCTACTAGAATTTGTTTTCATAAGTAGTATTTTAGATGTTGAAGGGAATTACATCTTTGGGTTCCTCCCCTAAGTGTATTCTTTGTGTGTACATGCATACAGTACAGTATAATTTTAAAAATCCAAACAAGTTGGAATACAAAAGCTTAATGTTGTTTTCTCAGATTAAAACCAAACCAAACCATCAATTTGGGCCGAGCTCTGGTGGCTCACCCATCTAAACCTAGCTACTTAGTTGGAAGCCAGCTCGGGCATGGAAATTTGTGACTCCTATCTCCACTAAAATACCAAAAAATCAGAGTGGAACTGTGGCTCATATGTTAGAATGCTAGCCTTGAACAAAAGAGGTCAGGGAGAGTGTGCAGGCCCCAAGTTCAAACCCCACGACACAAAATATAAAAATAAAATGCTTAATGGGATTACAGGGTAGGAAAACATAGAGTATCATTGTGAGTTCATAAGGAAGTGAGGTGCAAAGGCTAACAATACAGTAAGTGGTTCCTAAAACATCTGAGAAAAGGACATCATACTTTGTTTTCTAACATAATGGGATTTTTTTTTTTCTGGAGGATGTTTCTTTTTTTTTTTTTGTCAGTAATGGTGTCTGAACTCTGGGCCTGGGCGCTGTCCCTCAGCTCTTCAGCTCAAGGCTAGTGCTCTACCACTTGAGCCACAGCACCACTTCCAGCTTTTTCTGTTGATGTGGTGCTGAGGAATAGAACCCAGGGCCTTATGCATGCAAGGCAAGCACTCTATCACTGAGCCACCTTCCCAGCCCCTGTTTCTATGTTTTGCTGGTTGTGGATCTTGAACTCAGTGCTCAAGGCTATTGTAGTACTCTACTACTTTGAGCCACAGAGCTACTTCAGTTTTCTTTGTTAATTAGAGATAAAGAGTCTCATATACTTTCTGCCTGCGCTGGCTTTGAACCTTGCTCACAGGCGTGAGCCAGTACCGCCTGACTCCGTAAGTATTATAAATGATGGAGCAATAAAATAAGTGGAAAGGTGACATCCTCGTCCACGTAAAGATCATGAATTTATATGCATTTTATTTTGGGGGTAGAGACTTCTGGGAATCGAATCGGGTCTGGCAAGTGCTCGACAAGTGCAATACCATTGATCTGCGTCCCCAGAGCGATTCAATCTTCCAAGGTTCTGGCATTTATATTGGTAGTTAGGCTACCCAGTATTTGGAGTAACTTAACCCATTCTTTTTTTTTTTTTTTTGGTCCAGTGGTGGGGCCTGAACTCTGGGCCTGGGCGCTGTCCCTCAGCTCTTCAGCTCAAGGCTAGCACTCTACCACTTGAGCCACAGCGCCACTTCCGGCTTTTTTTCCTGCTTATGTGGTGCTGAGGAATCGAACCCAGGGCCTCAGGCATGCAAGGCAAGGGCTCTACCACTGAGCCACCTTCCCAGCCCCTAACTTAACCCATTCTGACTGATCCGCGCTAATTTCATGCTGAGTCAGGAAGAATATAGTAGAAGATGATTCCCACGGAATTCTCCTGGTACATTAAAAAGAGGCACTGTTTTGGTAGAGATTGTTTATTCTTGTTTAACTTGGTTTGGTGCTTGCAGCTAGGAAAGAGGCAGCAGAGCCAAACTCCAGCCCCTCCCAGGGCTGAGGCTGCGAAACTGCAGAGGCGGGGAGCAGCAGAGGGCGAGAGAGAGCTAGATTTAGGCTTTGTTCCCGAGTCCACGTGACGTGGAACGTGCTCCTTTGCAGGCCCAGCTTCCGGCCAGGGCACCTCCCCCGGAAATGGGGAGCAGAAGTGGGTGGGGCCAGGGCTGGCGGCCGCGGTGGCTGGGGGCGGATAAAGGAGCGCCGGGAGGGAGGAGCTGTCGACGTCGCCACCGCCTAGCCGTCGTCACTGCCGCGGCTATTGTGACTTCCCAGAGTGTGAGAGCTTGGAGGCTGCGAGTGTAGACTTCTCGCTGCCACAGTCTCCGGAGCTCCGGAGGTTTAACCACCGCACGGAACAGCCAGGTAAGTCCTACATTGGTTCCCATCGTCCCCTGATTACCAAAGGAGTATTTGGTGTTTGTCAATCTACTACTAAGTGTGGTGAGAAGGTCGTTTTGTGTGGGGCACACCCCACACTACTTCACGACCCACACACTTCAGGTCCACCTCCCCGAACGTAAAAACAGAAGAGATGATTTGGGTCCTGACCCATGTTACTTTCTTGTACCAGTCTGGGGAGCGTAGCCTACAATCCATGGCCTAGGTTCATGAATTGGGGGGCACCGGAAGGTCTGTGCCCTGTGTTGGAAGTCATCTGAGCCGGGGGAAATCTTTGCTTCCTGACATGTCTTTCTACTTTGGAAACTGAGTACTAAGATCACCATGGTAGATAAAATAATTTTTCAAAATTGTTATGTGGCTTCTTGGTTTGCTCTAAGACCATAAGCTAAATCTAAAAACGTGACACTTGTTTTCAGTTTAATTCCTTTGCGATGCCCCTTTCCAGTAAGTCACAGTGTGCACCCTTTGGCCCATCTCAGGGCATGTATCTCTGAAGCCCAGTCTATAACGCTCTGTCCTTTTCTGTCCCTCGGGTGCTGGGGATCTACCTCAGCGATTTCTGCATTCTAGGCTGTCTCTTAACTTTGGACATTTTTCTGTTGTAGATACTGAACTTATTTTAAGCATAGACAACACTTGTCTTATTTAATAATAAGCCTCTTTCCACCCCCCCCTCCAGAATCTGAATTTTGTTTTAGTCGTACCCTCCTCATCAACTGTAATGGGGCTTTGTATTAAGACTGTGTACAGAACATTGAATTAGGTGAAACTGAGGTGTGGGAGGAGGGAATACACAATAATTGAGTCTTCTGACCTCAAACATTTATCAATCAATTGAGTCCCAAATCAGCCCCTCTGAACAAATAACTGGGTTACCTATCTCATACTTTTTTTTTTTTTTTGTCGGTTGTGGGTCCTGAACTCTGGGCCTGGGCACTGTTCCTCAGCTCTTCAGCTCAAAGCTAGCCTCTACACTTGAGCCACAGCGCCACTTCTGGCTTTTTCTGCTTGTGTGGTGCTGAGGAATCGAACCCAGGGCCTCATGCACACAAGTCAAGCACTTTACCACTGAGCCAACTTCCCAGCCCTATCTCATACTTTTAAAGTTTATTTTAAATTGTGATTTTAGCTTTATCATTTGAAACTTTCTAATGTCTATAGCAAAGACATGGGAGAGTCTTCTGTCTGTAACTTACTAGAAAGAGGAAGTGTTCATGAGAGTGCAGGAAGGAAGGATTTGAGCTGGGCCTTGAAGAATGGATAGGATTTAACTTTGCAGAATGGAAGAAAATGTGACCAGTCCAGGTAGAAGAAATATTGTGAGCAAAGTCCTGGGGAAATCAAAAGATGCAAAATATTTACTAGCATATTTATGTCAATGTCCCTATTTCTTTTTTTTTTTTCTTTTTTTGTGTGTATGTCAGTGCTGGGGCTTGAACTCAGAGCCTGAGCACTGTCCCTGAGCTTCTGTATTCAAGGCTAGTGTTCTATCACTTGAGCCACATTTTCACTTCTGGCTTTTTTTTTTTTTTTTTGCCAGTCCTGGAGCTTGCGCTCAGGGGCTGGACACTGTTTCTGAGCTTCTTTTGATCAAGGCTAATACTCTACCACTTGAGCCATAGTGCCACTTCTGGCTTTTTCAGTTTATATGGTGTTGAGGAATTGAACTCACAGCTTCATGCATGCTAGTCAAGCACTCTACCACTAAGTCACAGTCACAGCCCATTTCTGGCTTTTTTTTGTTAGTTTATTAGGGATAAGTGTTTAAGGAGCTTTCCTGCTCAGGTTGGCTTTGAACTGCAGATCTTCCATTAATTGGTTTTGTTTGTAGAAATATATGATGGGGACTGGGCACTTGTGGCTCAGGCCTGTAATTTTAGCTACTTAGGAGGCTGAGATCTGAGGACCAAGGTTTGAAGATAGCTTGAGCAGGAATGTCCATGACAGTCTTATCTCCAATTACCAAAAAAAGTTGGGACTGAAGCTATGGCTCAAGTGAAAGAATGCTAGCTGTCAGCACAAAAGCTCCGGGACAGTGCCCAGGCACAGAGTTCAAGCCAAGGACAAGTTAAAAGAATTATATGAAGGCTGGGAAGGTGGCTCAGTGGTAGAGTGCTTGCCTCCCATGCATGAGGCCCTGGGTTTGATTTCTCAGCACCACATACACAGAAAATGCTGGAAGTGGTGCTGTGGCGCAAGTGATAGAGTGCTGGCCTTGAGCTGAAAAGCTCAGGGACAGCACCCAGGCCCAGAGTTCAAGCTCCACGAATGACAAAAAAAAAGTATGACTATGAAGAAGTCTTTTTAAAAGTAATGTATCATTGTGATTGCTGCTGACCTTGGATGTGCACCTAATGCCCCAACTAAAGCAAATAGGGAAGGACAAATGCCTTAGTTACTTCTCTTCTTCAGTTCCACTGGAAAGTTTCAGAGTGTTGTATGCCCGTTGGAATTGAGAAGAAAATGGTTCACGTAAAGTGTGTTACCTGCCTCTTAGGAAGGGAAAGCATCCAGAAGATGCTGCTAATACCCAAGATAACATCAACAAAGATATAAGAATAGGGACTGGGAAGGTGACTCAGTGGTAGAGTGCTTGCCTTGCATGCATGAGGCCCTGGGTTCGATTCCTCAGCACCACATAAACAGAAAAAGCCAGAAATGGCACTGTGGCTCTAGTGGTAGAGCACTAGCCTTGAGCTGAAGAGGTAAGGGACAGTGCCCAGGTTGAGTTCAGGCCCCATGACCAAAAAAAAAAAAAAGATATAAGAATAGAAGTATACAGTGAAAATTAAGTTCTCAGGACTATTTATGATAAACATATAGCAGACATCTAGTGTCATGAGATTATGTAAGAGTTGACCTAACAGGGCTTGGGTTTAGTATAGTGGTAGAACATGTGCTTAGCATGTGAGAGGCCCTGAGTATAATCCCTAGCTCCAAAAAGAAAAAAAAGGAGTTGCTTTGAGAGCTAACAAAAGCTTACAGAGAGCTTAGTTATTAAAGAATTCCAAGTGTAATCACCTTTGTTGTGGTAGGAATAAAGGAAGGTATGTAATTTTTTTTGTGGTCTTGGGGTTTGAACTCGGGGTCTCATGGCTTGTAAGTTAAGGCATCCACTGTTGAGTCATACCTCCAGATGTTTTTGCAGTAGTGGTGGTGAACTGAGACCTTGAACTCAGACCTGGGTGCTATCCCTCATATTTTCCACTCAAGGCTACTGCTTTACCAGTTAAACCACAGCTCCACTTCTGGCATTTTGGTGGTTAATTTGGATAAGAATTTCATGGGTTTTCCTGCAGTTGCTGCTGGCTTAGAACTGCAATTCTCAGATCTCAGCCTCCTGAGTGGCTAGGATTACAGGTGTGAGCCACAGGCTCTTGGCAAGAATAATTTATTTAGTACAGTATACTGTTTGACCTGAATGTCAGGATGTGATTAGAATTGCTTAAGAGTTTGTGACTATTACAGAAATAACCCACAAATTCCTGTTTCTTAATTTTAGAGCATCTAGGAAGTCATACGATGTTGAATGTTGTGTTTTTCTCCCCTGACTGGTGGTTGTTTTTTTAGTTTTTTTTTTTTCTGGTCCTGGGGCTTGAACTCAGGACCTGGGTACCTTCCCTGAGCTTCTTTTGCTCAAGGCTAGTGCTCTACCATTTGAGCCACAGCTCCACTTCCAGTTTTTTGGTAATTTATTGGTAATTTATTTGGTAATTTATTGGTGCTGTGGCTCAAGTGGTAGAGCACTTGCCAAGAGCTGAAGAACAGTGCCCAGGCCTAGAGTTCAAGCCCAATGACCAACAAAAAAATAGTCTCAGGGAGTTTGGGAATGTGGCTTAGTGGTAGAGTGCTTGCCTAGCATACATGAAGCCCTGGGTTTGATTCCTCAGTACCACATAAACAGAAAAAGCCAGAAGGAGAACTGTGGCTCCAGTGATAGAGTGTTAGCTTTGAGCAAAAAGAAGCTCAGGGACAGTGCCCAGGCCCTGAATTCAAGCAAAAGAAAAAAAAAAGAGTCTCAGGGATTTTCCTGCCCAGGCTGGCTTTGAACTGTGATTTGCAGAGCTCAGCCTCCTGAGTAGTTAGGATTACAGGCGTGAGCCACCGGTGCCTAGCTGTGTTTTTGATTTTTTTTTTTTGGTTCGGTCATGGCCTGAACTCAGGGCCTGGGCGCTGTCCCTTGGCTCTTCAGCTCAAGGCTAACGCTCTACCACTTGAGCCTCAATGCTACTTCCAGTTTTTTGTTATGTGGTGCTGAGGAATGGAACCCAGGGCCTCATGCATGCAAGGCAAGCACTCTACCACTGAGCCACCTTCCCAGCCCCTGTTTTTTATTTTTTTTTTCAAAAATGCCATTATTGGGCATGAACTCAAGGCCTCTTATACTCACTCTACTTTTACCCACAACTGGCACTCTACGAATTGAACAATGCACCCAGACCTTTGTCTATTTTTTGATTTTTGAGAGAAAGTCTTATTATATAGCTTAAGTTGGTCTCTAATTTGTAATCATTCTGTCAGACTCTCTAGTGTTGGGGTCATACACCATTCCCAGCAATACTATTTTTAGTCAACAATACTATTTTTTGTGCCAGTCCTGGGGCTTGATTCAAGGCCTGGGAGCCGTTCTTGAGCTTTTTTACTCAAGACTAGTGCTCTACCCCGCTTTAAACCACAGTTCCATTTCCAATTTTGTGGTGGTTATTTGGAGATAAGAATCTCACAAATTTTTCCTGCCTGGGCTGGCTTTGAACCTCGATCCTCAGACCTCAGCCTCCTGAGTAGCTAGGATTACTGGCGTGAACCACCAATACCCAGCTTCATCTGATTGTCTTTTGTTTGCACTTGATTAGAGTAGATATATTTCATATGGCCACATTTTATTCCCAGACATATCATGTGGCATAAATTGGGGTTTGAATTAGTCTTGCCTTCAGAACCTGTGTTCTCATTTATTTAAC